CAGGGAATGTTTGTGTAGGAGAATCCTTTTGCCAATGACACACACTATACAGGGAGTAGGAGGGTGTTTTGTGTTTACTGACAACAGAAAACAGCTTCTGTTCTTCAGAACATTTTCATCTTTCTCTCACCCTGTCAGGACAGAAAGTTGTTTCTGTAATACTTTGCTGTTTATAATGCTGATAATATGACATAAAAAAAAAAATTAAAACAGAGATTATGATTCAGTGCTTTATTTAGCTAAAAATCTCTCGATTTATGCTGTTAACCAAAAAGGACTTAACTTAGTTACTACTTACTGTGACACAAGTCCATATTATCTATGTATGCTGTCTCTTCCTAAACAGGGAATAAAAGTGTCACACCAGTACAAGATAAAATCAGCCTAATATTTAAAGAATTCTCATTCTGCATTCAAATCCTGCTTGATTTGCAGTCATCTGCAGAGACAAATTACAACATATGTGTCTGATTTATGGGTTGCAAATGCTGTCATCTGTACCTGAAAGTAATACCGCTTTCAGCTTCGAGGGCTTACTGAAAAGCAAATAAATTATACTTACATGTCCCATACCTGACCCCAGACAAAACAACAACTACGGTGAAACCTCCAGACAGATCAAAATACTTACTCCGTCAGCATCAAAAGCAGCTCCAAATCCATACTCGCCACCTCTCATAGCCTCCAGCAAGGCAGTTGCGTATGTTAAATTGGGATCAGGAGGCTGTCCACCAAAATCCTCCAGAGGAATACAGTTTATGGCAGAATTTGCAGGAGCTCCCAATTCATCACACAGGATTCTTCTCACATAAGGTCCCATAACTGCAAAAACAGAAATCTGCCATGCAATCACAAAAGCGTATGCTTGACATTCCAATTTTTCACAGCACCATGGAGACTTGATACAAAACATACTTTCAGCAATTCTATACATCTGTCCTAGCAACTAAAAGCAAACTATTATTTCACAGAAGAGTATGTGATTGTCCCCCCAGTAAATAATCAATTGGCAATTCAGCATTAAAAACACAGTTCCCCACTAGTGGAAGTGAAAAAGTAATCACTGAATGGTGAAAGATGCAAGTTTTATTTACCCATTATTAAGTAAAACAATTACCATACACCTAGAGGGTTTTTTCTCACTAGAATAAAAATAAGATGCTATTCTATGTATCCTGGAATGCAAACAATTTAACACATAATAGCAAGGAAAGTAAACAGTAAGGGAATACAAGTGGGAAATAAACTTACCTCAACATTCCAATTCACGTTAAAATTACAACTGGTTTGTCCACCAAAGAATTTTGCCACATTTTAGTTACTACCATGCAGATAATAAACAAAAACTTTCTCAAAACTAACTCCAAAATAACTTCTTTATTTTGTTAAAGATATGGCCAACTAAGACACCAGCTCATGCTACTATATATCATAATTATTATATGCATTTGGCAGCTGAATGGACACTAACAACCGACTGGGCTCTCTGCATCCCTGAGGCAGGTGTGAAGAGGTCACTCAGAGATAAAAAATTCATGAGTGATTGCTTGCTCTCTCGTGCTCTCTCTTTCTCCTACCTTACTCCCAAATCTTGCTAACTGGAGCAACTGTAACCCAAAGTAAAACTGTGACAAACTTGTGTTCAAGAAAATTTAGGTGCTAACTCTGTAAAATATACAGTAAACAATGATTCAGGTTCTTATCAAGAACCTGACAAATTACTCTGTTCTACACTAATGTTAAACTATCAATGTTTACAGGCATAAAAGCATATTCCAGAGGTGCAGAGCTGAAACAAACTTTGGAAGACAGTTTGTCCACATACACATGTGGTCCTCTCTAATGTTCACTTTATTGTGGCTGGTGACTCACTTCTGGTTAATGCATCTCATCCAGAAAGTCTTTTGATCTGATGCCACCCAGAGAAGGACAAACCCCAATTATCTTTGGTAGATTGCTCCAGTGGTTATTCACTGTTACCCATAAACAAGTGAGCTACATTTCAATTTGAATTAGTCTGGCCTCAACTTCTCACTATTGATTGTTTTTGGTATTTTGGGGAATAGAAGACTGAGAAATAATTTTTTCTGCAGAAAAAAAAAAACCAACCTTTCTCTCTGTTACAAACAAGTATTCTTGTATACACTTACTGTATGTGTACTATGTTAGTATGGCTATTTCTCCACCCAGATACAAAGTCATAAAGCCAATTCTCTGTCACCTTGTAAATAAAGTAAACAAACTCAGTCCTTTAAAATTTTTGTGATGCATCGGTTTTTATAACCCTGTGCCAGACTATGCATCTGACCACGTGTAATATTTTTCAACACTCAGTTATAGATCTGGACATCAGAGCTCTATAAACTATTTGAATAACATTCCCTCCAGTACTGTACACGATGGGAGGCAGTGCCTTCCTCATTGCTCCCTCTGCATTGTTCAAGGACATCATCTGCCCTTTTGCCACAGCCTGGCAAAACTAGGTGTTCACACTGACTGTATGCCCACTATAATCCTTTGAACAGTGACTGTCACACTGTAATAGATGAAATGCTTTACAAAAGCTCTGTAAGTCTATCCAGCTCCCTTTATTGGTCTGTTTTTGTAACCCCATTAAAGAATGAAACCTGGTTTGTTTGATGGAATTTGCTTTCCATAAGATAATGTGGAACAGCTTTACTTCATTCCTATCCTTCAAGTAATTATCTGTAGAAACCTATCTTTATTTTTTCGTGATGTAGCCTAAGACAGATCTCATACTGATCTATGTTTCCCCAAGTGACTCAGCTTCTAACTTTTTAATATTGGCACACAAACAGTCCCCTTGCTGTCTCCTGTGACACTTTATTTTGTCCTGCCCCCAGTACACTGGAATTTTTTAACAGTTAATGTTAGTGAGACAGAGGTCTCAGCCAACTCTTTAAGAACTCTTGGGTGCAATTTATTCAGACTTAACTAACTTGATACCAGTTAGAATTTACTCTTCGTAGAGGCTGCCTTGTAACCTCCTTGGTTACTGCACACTGCAACCTACTTCATCACCCTCTCATGGCAAGACTACCTCATCCTGCTTGCTTCCGAATACAGAAAGAGAACATTTATTGGACACATATGCCTTCACTTCTTTATCAAGAAACATAAACCTCTTTGCCTAATAAGGGACTTAACCCATTGTTAAGACTGACTTTGTTACTAGTATAATGTTCAAATCCTTTCTTATTATCCTTAACCTTACTAAAAAGTCTGACTTTTATATGCTGTACCTTTATTGGGAAACTATTGCAGTGTACCATCTTTATGGGGAAGCTATTGCAATGTACCTACAACTTTGTCCTGATAACAACTTAAGTTCATACCTCCATTCATGGCATCAATCCGTATTTTAATCTGGTTGGGTCCGGTCAGCAAATTTCTGATCGCATTGAAGTCAAAGATACTTCGAAGGAGATTGAGGTAGATATCCACAGAATCCACAATTTCCACTAGAAAAATTAGGTAGAAAAAAATGGCTACAGTTCACGCATGGGAAAATATCTCTTTCAGCACACTCCCACCAGCCATGCAGCTCAACTAAAATCAGAGCGTGCAACCTCTACATAATATGGATTTGATCTGAAGCCCATAGAGGCAAAGTCAAAGACTTCCACTGATGTCAGTGTGGCTACCATCAAGCTTTAAGCCTTGCAAAGATCAACAGTTTTGCCTGCTAAAGGACTGCAGAGATAATGTAAGTTGACAGTTCCTATTTCACTGAAAACATTCATGAGAGTACATCATATCAAAGTAAGCTCTTTATTTATCATTCACTACATCACTGAACAGGTTTATTGTCAGAGGATGGAAGATGTCCATGCTGACTTGAAGCCACACATTCTATTCTTCTATCTGACAGCAGTATCTGTCTGCATCATTCCATCAGGAGAGACATACAGCCTATTCTTCTCGGTTTTGGCACCTGGAATATCTGTCTCCAGTTTGTTGTCAATCTACCACTATAGTTTTGCATTTTAGATCTCACTGATTTGGGTAAGTTAGGCTCAGATACAACATCTGTCTTTTGCTAAGGTCTTGCTAATTTGAATTCTAAATTCATAAAAGCAGAGAGCTACAATTTTTCTAGTTCTTTTGGATGTAAAACATTAAACTAAAACAAATTCATGAAAGTGAGTCTGTCATAATGAAAGCAGTTACCAAGCAACTGTCAAAAGCCATGCTTCTCAGTCATCGTGGAATGTATTACTTTTCCTGATGAAATTAAAAAGCTTATGTTATACAAATATCTTTTTATCTGGTTAAATGAGTATCTTGAAATATTTTAGTTACAAGTTAAATTATTACTTAGAACATCAGCCAGTTTTCCTCAGAAACACTGACCTCACCCTAATGCTCTTCTTTAAGATAACATGAAAATGACACAGACATTTTTTGAGCCTGAGAAAAACACTTAGAATAGGTTGTGATGATACACTTAAATGGAGAAACAAAAAAAAAGGTTCTCAAGGCTGAAAAACAACCTGTAAAACCTATGTGAAAATGAGCTAATTCTATGGTATATGTTGAAAGTCTCAAGGATTCACCAAAATTACATTACTGCATATCTTCTATGCCCTGCTCCTAACAATGTTTAAGTAGGCTCTAAGCTGCACACATCTGAACAAATGCCTCAGCTTCAGTGGAGCTGCTCACACACATTAAGATAAAGTACATATAGGATTAAAGTTTAAAAATTATTTTAGCTCCTGCCAAATCCAACTGGTTTACTCTCAGTTGCTTCAACACCTCTGTAGCTTTGATTTACAGGATTTAGTTCATACAACGGAAAAAGCAGAAGTTTTAAATACATCAGATAGTATCTTAAAATACTTCTTAAATTATTTTCATTCTTTCTGCACTTTCATTCTGCGTTCAGACCTGTGTAAACGATACTTATTCATGCACTTGTAAGCCAATTACATTGCTTTAGTAGGGATTCCTGGCAGCTCTACTGTCCCAGGACAATGTGTTCTGGGAAAAGATGACTAGGAAATTATTTTCCTTAGAAAAACATTCAGACAAATTGCAATTATTTTTAATCTGTTTTTATAGTACCTGTAGGGAGAGGGGATGTCTCATTTTCATTTAGAAAAATACAATTTGGAGAGATTAAAAAGTTGAAAAAGCAAAATTGAAAACTGTGGCAATCACATGATTCCAGAGTGGTCCTAGAGCTGAATCTTCTTTGCTTTTTGTTTGCCTAAAAAGCCAAATATGTTCTTTGCAATCAAAAAAAAAAATCATAATTTAAGGATTTTTTAATCAAAAACTTTATTTATCAAAATGTACTTTGTCTCAAAATACAATGTTCTGGTGGAAAATAAACTGGCTTTAATTCTACAACATCACGAATGAGGAAGAATTCTTGAAGCCACACAGAGTTTTACAGTATTTGAAATACTGTCTGGACCCCTTCCTTTGCTTTTGACTCCTTCATGACAAAATGGCTGTGTTAGCTCTTTTTATATCAAGTCTAGGCATAAAAGCACTCACATGCTTAAAATTAAACACGTGCTTAAGCACTCCCTTTACATTTGGAGTCACTGGATGTATAGTGCCTTACACATCCCACAACTTTTCAGAAAGAGCAAAGAATGAATAAACTGAGACTCTCATGAACTCTTTTGTCAATTAGACATCCGTTAGCAAACCATTCCTAGTCCAAAAATGTTTGTATTTGGTGTTTAACTACTAGCAAGCCTAAGCACATATATTTGGCAAAGGTATTTGGCTAAATGATGAGACAATGCACTTCAAGTCTGTAACTCAGTTTCCTTATGTGCAAAACAAATGCAACACCTACCTATACTGCCTAATATTTTGCAAACTTGTAGTAAGGCATTTTGAAGAATTAAAAGTTCTGTTTAAATAACTACCCATTATCATTCTGCAGGAATTCTAATATTCAGAATCAATGGACGTAGCATGCATAAAAGCACACACTGATACCTCGGAAAGGTTTGAATTTGTTCTCCAGATCAAATTCTTGTCTTCCTAGGCGTGATAAATCAACTTTGAGATCGGGACAAATGGCATATTCCTCCAAGGTTTTGCTGATTTGATAGATTTTATCTGAAACCATATCTGGAGCAGGTCCTATAACAAAAAAAAATGTGGTGGGTCATTTTTTTTTTTTAAATGAAGGTTCCCTATTTAAAAAGTGAGTGCTATAGCAAACATTTTTCTGAATATATTGGAGTTATTAAGGAATAAACCCAAACAAAGAACTATAGTAAATAAGGTCTCTCCTTTCAGTGTAACACAGGTCTAAAACATTTTTTTAAGAAACAAAACATGGAAGTACAGTGCATTACTTGCAACATTTTGATTCACATGGAGTATTTAAATGAATCACTACCCAAAGCAGAGGGGATGAGGGAACCAAAAAACCCACAGCCATCTTTCTTTGGGTTTATTGCTCAAAGACTGCCATTTTTCACTCTACACAGAATCTCAATATACATATTAAAGGAAAACCTGTCCTTCAGCAGCAGTTTCTGGTGTTTCATAGATAGGGCTTTCTGCAAATGCACACTTGTGAAGGTGAAATAGCTTTGTGTTTCACATTATTTCATTAGACATAATTATCATTTTAAAAAGTCTTACCAGTTTGACAGTGGTTTTGCCTTGCAGTTTTCCTCCAACGGCTTAATGAAATGTATCTTTGTCAGAATTCAAAATACTTTAATTGCTTAACAAGCAATTATAACCTGGAACAGTTATGTCATTCAGAAACAGAAATCACATCTCACTTGTGCATGACTTTTATTGCCAAATCCTGAAGATCGGCTCTATTTTTGAAGATTTACTGTCAATCAAATAAAAGTTGCAGGCCTGATGCAAAAATTACCAGATGAGCTATGCCATATGTGGTGCAAGAGTTGAGTCTCAGTTACAACAAAAGTCTTTTCTGGCTTATCTGATTCTTCATTGCTTGCATTAAAGCCACACTTCCACTCTGAAAAATTACTTCCTTTATTCTCTTTTACGTACTCTCTCTCCTAATCCAAGGCCTCTGTCTTTTCAGTGCTAACTTCCCACTCCTCTAGCAATGCTGCTATATTCAGTGCAGCTTTGCCACGTAAATTACTGTGTTACATCTCAGATGCAGTGTACCAGATGGTCCAAGGCAATACGATAAGCAACAGTCACTTAACTCTTCATTTGGCTTAGAAAATGACTTCTTATTCATCGAATCCAAACCCATCCAACGGGTGAGGACAGGTTTCATTAGCTCCAGATCATCCTTGTATTGTCTACTGATATTTCCAGCTAAGGAGATCTCACAGTGTCGCTCTGCATTCTCTCCTACAGGTACAGAAACAAACCGCTTCTGCCTGACCTGGATCTGCAAAACAGACTGAATGAGAATGCAGTGCAACAACCGCCTTCCCTAGGAGCTTGTCATGCTGCCTAACCATTCTCTTGGTTCAAAAGCCTTGCCTAATACTTAACCCACATTTTCTCAGCTGCAACTTAAACCAACTACTTTTCATTATTGGGTAGTCCCTGCTGATTATCGTAACTAATTGAACCTTGTGACCTGCGCTTGAGGAGTGTTTCATATTTAAAGCTTAATAGCCTGTTTTAATTTTCTTTAAAAAGGCAAAGTACACTAAAAAGAATGCCCCACCAACTGTTACTCATTTATCAAACAGATTTTAGGTGTACACAGTGTTTTAAAGTTTATAGAGTGCTAATGCATCTAATGGTTTGGCTCTGGTATGTTTGTGCTGTGACCCTGGCTTTCTCACTGCCTGACCTTACACAGTCCCTTTAATCTCTCTGGGATTCAAGCCTATTCTGTTTATAAAATCACACTGCTTTAACCACGCACGTTTTTCAATTAAATGAGGTACAAGGGAGAAGCACCCCCTTCTCCAGTTCTCCCACTTTTAAAATAGGGGAGGAAACATTATTTTAAGAGCTCTTTCAGTTTTTTCAGATGGAAAGCACTCTACATATGTGCAGTATACAAGGTGTCAGCAATCGTCACCGAGATGTTTTATGTGTATACACAGATCTATAACATAAAACATACACAATGTATAACATACCTACATGTGTTAGCTTGCCCATTTTGGAATACGAGACATTAGCTATATACGCAAATTCCACTATTCAACAGAGGAACTGCAATAGTTAAAATGGTACAACCCTCTCCCTGGGTAAGAGCAGTTATTTCCTGGGTAAACATGAGAAATGCTTTCTTCCATACAAGACAATGAGTTACACTGCTTACAGCACTTCTGAAATTACATGCTTTAAAGTAAATGCCAAGACAAGCAACACAGAAATATAAGCAAAACAGAGCTCCCTCATAGGCATCTTTATAAAAGGATCAGAACTGTTACAATAACCTGGCAGACTACATAAAATGCTATAAAAATGGGATGGCAAACCTCTTGTTTATAGAAATCTTACAGATACCACAAGGACTTCAGTGAACATTTAATGCTTATTGTACAGGCCGATGTAAACAAATACAGTCCTACTATTGAAAAAAAAAAAAAAGACAGATGCATATCTTCTTCACAGTTTTAACAGAATAAATGAAAAGCACACAGGTAAGGTCAGCTAGTTATCCTTGTCAGCATATTTTCATCACACCAATACGCAGTGCTGTAATGTGTTATTAAAAAAAAAAACCTACCTCCATTAGCAACCTCAAACTTGACTCCAAACTCTCCTCCAGGTCCCCCAGGACTGTGGCTAGCTGTTAGGATAATTCCACCAGCTGCTTTGATCTTCCGGATGATACATGAAACAGCAGGTGTGGATAAAATACCATTCTGTCCAATAACCAGTCTGCCGATCTGGGTGGAAAAGGAAGTTGAAATACTCTGAATGGTTCTAAACTTTTGAAAATTAATAAACAAACACGTGCACACACATATAGGCATATGTGTATAGGATAGAAATTGTAAAGTCCTAGTACAGAACCTATTCTTTTGCAGAGAAACACACGTACATGAGTTGGTTCCATGGTAATCTGGAGAGCTGACAAAAAATATTGTATCCCAGCACATTTAAACCCAGTGGCCTGTATACTGACAGTAAAGCAAGAGCACAGCCATGGTAGTGATTTGCAAAGCTCCCAAGCATAGCACTGGGCTATGATCCCGCTACCAAACCTTTCCAGGTATCCCCATGAACGAACAAATCCCCTCAAATATCAATATAGTTTAGGGCTGACTGTGTGGATGCAGTTTGCAGGGCTGGGGCTTTAACTAGCGTAAAAGAGAAGAGCAAGCAAACTGTCTTTCATGGAGTGGCCTTTCAGTGTAATCACAAATATCACTACATGCGAAGACCTGTAGTCTCTGCAAGCCACATCTCTATTACCACAACACCCCTGGACGTCCTGCCCCATAGACAGCACTGCTCCTCCTCCAGCCATCGGTGACTCCTTGGCTATTCCAGATGAAGAGGGTGTGTTTCCCAGGGCACAGCTGAGCAGGGGAAGTTCCCACCATTCTTAAAGTAAAAAAAGCTTTCAGGTGGTGTTATTAAATACTGACTCAATGTGTTTGGTATTATGTGCAGTTCCACTGCAAGGTTCCAATTTCAAAACCTTGCCTTCATCCCCTACACAGTTACTACAGTTTCAGCTCAACACAAATAATCTAGGAGCCAACCAAAAATGTATTTACAAAGAAATATGAAAAGGTTCCAGTTCTTGGGAAACAGGCAGATACAAAAAAAGGAGGGGAGAAGGGGAGGTTAGTGTCACAGATGAGAACTGAGGCAGCTGCATATGGACCTTAAAAGGATATTGCCGAAGTTTGGGGTTTTTTAATATCCTCACTTTTAAAAAAACCCACAACCAAACAAACAAAAAAACCACCCACCACTACTGAGCAGTAGTTTGGGAAGGGGGTGGGAGGGAGAGACGGAGAGAGGGAGAGGTAGAATCCTTCCCGCTCCCCATCTAAAAGCAGACGGGGAGTTCAACCTCAGATTTCCTTCTCTAGTTTGAGGGAGATTTGATAGCTCTACTGTCTGTGTGGCAAAGCAGCAGCGCAGGAGGTGCTGCCTCCTTTCTATAAAGAGCCGTTCCTTCATATACAGATGACCACCTTCTGGGTCCAGCATTGTGTGAGGCCCTTAATGGTGCGGTTCCAAATAATTTCAGAAAAGCAGAGGATTAATAGATGATTTATTTAGCCTGTTTTTGTGAACTATTTTAATAAAAAATAAAGATTTCTACATTGAAATGATCAGCTTCTAAAGTAAGCACAAGTTACTTTTTGCTAACCCTCACAAAGCAGGAGCTGTGGTTAGCCATTTCTCTTTCACTGAGAATTAAAAGATCTGCTTTCAAATTTAAAAAAAAATGCGCAGAACAATGCATTCTATTAACTGAGATTTCCACCTCAAGATTTGGTGATAGGATGATTGTTTTTCTACCTGGTTCTCTTTTCACAGTTTTTGCAGATAATTTTGAAGCCTATGGATTGTTGCTAGAAAACAGGAAAGCTATCAAAATTGTAAGTAAAACTGTAAGTATCCTTGTTGATTGTCTGCAAATCAGCAGAATCCACATTTTCTATTTCAACAGATTATTTTAAAGCAGCGCTTCCACTGACATGGCCAGTTGGTGAGGGTGGAGTGTATACATGGTTAACACATACACCACACAGCTGAAGCTCATTTCTGCTCGCTTCAGTGGTGTTGAACAATTTTACTTCCTATTTAAGCCTAGCCACACAGTTTCATTAACCTAAAACTGAATGATTAAGAGCACTACCGTCTTCCTTCTTATAGAACCTGATGCCGACTATAACATAAATACCTTTGATCATTTGTGGAACAAAACATACCAGCGAATACAGTTTTCCTTGAAGAACAGATTAAATGTTATGCTTGTGTACTGTGACAGCATTTACTTGAGAGACTCTGTATCGCTTTTTGACTTTATGTCTCTCCTGCCTTCCCACTCTTGCTTTTCCCTAAAAGTAAAACTAAGCAGTAATTAACAGCATGTATATTTGTAAAACTCTCAATTTATCATAATTTACAGACCTTAGGAGCAACAATAAAGGTATATTTCCTCCACTCCTAGCTCCAAGCCAAGAGAAGCGGCTGATTAAATGTTACTTCACTGATTACAGAACAAAATTGGTATCTCTCTTACTGATCAGACTTTTTCACATTTATGTAGTATTCTTCCCATCCTTTAAAACTCTTGTAAATCTCCAAATGCTACATTTACATTTTATTTATTCAACTGTTTTCAATACTAAAGTACTTCAAAAATATTTTCTATACAGCCCTACTTGTTGCCACAGAAATGTAATTCCTATATTGCGGAACGAGGAAGACTCTTTTTTTTTTTTTTTTTTTTTTCTTTTGCTAAAGCAGAAGCGTTTCCAGTTGTTGTGGGCTGACAACTGACAGACACAGTTTTACCTCAGAAAATCCATAGGGTAAAACTCCATCCATCAGGACAGGCACTGAAATCACCAGAAGCTCTAGCACGTGCTTTGACACACTTTTAAGAGTCAAGCTCAAGAAAGAAAACTTTCCATTAGCCACATAATTTACTGTTTTATTTAAACCAGTGCCATGCAAATAATTTGAAAGAGAAATAGAGATTTTTTCCAAATTGTTCTGAATTTGAGTGTGTCCTTTTATGGCTTCTTTTCAGTGCATGAAGCAGCTTTTGGACAACATGCCATGTCTTGGTAGACTGTTCTATTTATGCTGTCGTTTAATCACTATTGCCAATTGTACTGAAGCATTAGAAAAAACACAGGACACTCGGAAACAGACTTCAACAAACTCTCCTCCAGTCTGTACAACAGTCTACCCACGTACCTTTATTATGGAAATAAAAGCATGACGAAAATAAATACTGAAAACGTTTGTTTTTAATATTGTCTCTCCCTTTTCTAAACTATGAAGCATGTAGAAAGCTAGAGCAATGACTCAGTCTTCCAAATACAGCTGGCAGAAATGGGTGCCAGCTCTTAAAACAGTATTGTGTATGGGTAAGCAAAAGGAAGATGACAGGAATTACATTTTGCAAAATGCTTGAAAACAACAACACTGAATCTATCTTGAAGTACTCAAGTATAAATGCATTTGTACTTGCATACAGGCTTATCATGAGCATATATTCTCTGTACTTCTAAATCTAAACTAGTGAGGTTTAGATTTTTGCCTTCATGCACACTGAAACTGTTTTTTTAAAGTAAGTAGAATACTCAGATTATTCAGGATGCACAAATTACCTGGCACTCTCTCTTCACCATATTTTCATTTTTTTCCTGTTCAACAGATGTTGCACAAACCAGTTTTCCCATTTTTCTGGACACCAAATATTAATACGAACAGGATTAATTTGCTTTGCCTTCAGCATTTGTCATAAGGCTATTATTTCTATACTACTTAGAAATATTATTTATTATACTAATCTCTATACTATAGAAATACTGCAATATTTAGTATTCTAAATTAAGGATGTTGAAAGTGAAGTTACATGAATGATACACATATATTTTATTTGCAGTGACTACTGCAAAGAGCTTCATCTTATGTGAAGGTCTTCAGTGCGTTTACAAAACTCCCTGAGGACAGTGAAGACCCTAGAAGTGTACACATGCTACCAATCTTCCTCTGCTCTCTTCATTTTGGTGGCAAGAATGCACAACCTCACCCTCTCTTGGCGCAGAAGCTGTTCATTTTGCCTCTGAACCGAACACTAAACTGCCATTTAATTAATTTTAAGAAACAAACACTCAGATTTACAGACTTCTTGCAATCTGGGCTAAAACAGTAACCAAATAATGTCCATGTACTGACTCACAATTGAAGTTCCAGCAATATCCTTCTGAAAATCTTGGACAGTTTCATAGCATGGGAAGATTATCTTTGGAATTCGAAAACTTGCATGGCTACGAGATCACAGGCATGTCATGTCTCTTCTAATACTGTGCCCCTACGCCACATTCTATTTTGTCACTCTGCTTTTAGTAGCAACAGCAGAAACAAAGACCATGACCCTCAGCAAACTGTTACAGCTGAAAGAATAGTCACCCTAACAAGTACTTGACAAGAACATTTTTATGCAATATTACCACTTGCAGCTGTGCATTTTCAGACGATTCAGTTGATTATCATGGAGTCACTTAATGCTTTTTTTTATTATTTTTCCCAGTAATCTCTCACATGCCTCAGTCAATTAAACTTGAAAGAACATGATGCAAGCAGATTATATCCCGGACAGCACGGGGCTCTGCCTTCCTATCTTTTACTCTAGTATCCTGAAGATGACTGAGCACCACACTCAACGTAGAAGCAAATACATCAATCATACAGGTCTGGGGAGGAAGGGCAAGATCCGCATGGAAGACCACGGAAAATAAAACCAACACGGTAATATAAAGAAGACAACTGGAAAACTCTCTGCCATCTCAAAGTTCTACAGCACTCCTAGCAATACTCCCTGATCTCTCTAGGATGCTGCTATGACTTTCCATATTCAGAGTATGATCATCAGCTTCTTATCTGCCACTGAGACTCATACACAGCAGCTTCTCATTTAAACCCATTCTAAATTTTGCATCAAAAATGAGATGCCCATCCAGTTGACGGGTCTAATGGAATACTTGCATTTAATTTGTAGTGGAACTGTATTATACACGATGGAGCCTTTTACCTCGGTTATTCCAGACGTTGAGGTACAAGGACACTACTCCTGACAGGACACAGGTGAAAAGGGAAATAGAGCCTCAGACACTCTCCTACCACCCCACATTGCAAAACTGCTTGTTGCAACCCAGAATGGTGCAGGACCTCTGCACGGCTTTCCTCACACTCCGCCACCCTCCCATGACAGGCAGTCCCTCACGCAAACGTGTTTGCTGCAGCCCCAGCTGTGTGACCCACCGAAGGGTGGCTCTGGTTGGCCACCTCCAGCTCTGAACGGAGAGATGTGGTGGAGCACGCGCTGAGGACAGCTGCAGAGCACGGACCAGCCTGTGCCTATTGCCACCCGTGGAAGCCTATGCAGGCAGTCCCTCACGCAAACGTGTTTGCTGCAGCCCCAGCTGTGTGACCCACCGAAGGGTGGCTCTGGTTGGCCACCTCCAGCTCTGAACGGAGAGATGTGGTGGAGCACGCGCTGAGGACAGCCGCGGGCCCGGCC